GTCATGATGCAACTGGGCACTTCGGTTACAAGAAAACAACTGCTAACTTAGTACAACGTTTCTTGTGGCCTGGTATGCTTGATGTAGCGAAAAAGTACATCCAGACTTGTGAAGTCTTTCAGCGGGACAAGCCACAAACTCTAGCTCCACTTGGATTACTTAAGCCCTTGCCCATTCCTGCCAGTCCAGGACAAAGCGTATCCCTGGACTTCATGGACACACTATGACCATCAAGAGTGGCAAGAGGCACATCTTCATCATAGTTGACAGGTTTACTGAGCTCGTTAGACTAATTGTCATGCCAGAAACAGCGACGACGGATCACATCATCAAGTTATTTATGGATAATTGGGTGCCTGATTTCAGACTGCCCAAGTCCATCGTTAGTGATAGAGATGTCCATTTCAGCAGCGAGATGTGGAAGAAAGCTGCTGAACAGATGGACAACCAACTCCAAATGACTTTGGGGAATCATCCCGAAGCCAACGGTCAAGCTGAACAGATGAACCGTGTGGTGCAGCATCTGCTGAGGCATTACATTAAGCCCAACCAGGATGACTGGGATGAGAGGTTGCCTCTCATCGCCAGTCTGTACAACAACACTGTACACAGCACCACCGGTGTCAGTCCGAAGCAGCTGCATTTAGGGTGGAAGACTAGATCTGCCCTAGACTTCCTCCTGCACGAAAACCCATCTGCTGCAACTCCTGGAACTATAGAATTTGGTGTTCGATATGAGAAGTTGTTGCAGGAGACTGTCGAGCACATTAAGAAATCTCAAGAAGCAATGATTGCTTCTGAGAACGAACATCGACGACAGTCCACCGGTGTCAGTCCACAAGAATTCGACATCTCTAGGAAACTAATGCCTCAGTACTTTGGTCCTTGGGAAGTCTTGGATATTGTGGGTAGTGAGTTGGAAACTAATGCCTCAGCAGATACTGCACTTTGGTCCTTGGGAAGTCTTGGAAACTAATGCCTCAGTACTTTGGTCCTCGGGAAGTCTTGGATGTTGTGGGTAATGAGTTGGATGGTCCTTCGCACATTATTTGAATCCCTGGTCACTTGCGTACTTACCCTATGTTTCACACCTCAAAGCTTGCACATTTCGCTGAGACACAGCAGTTCCCATCAAGGTGATCAATGCTGCCCCCAACCATGGATGGCCACGACGCCATTTTGGAGCACACAGATATGCCTGTTCCCAAGCCTGTGGGTAGAGGAAGACCGTTGAAACCCAAGAGGGAGTACCAGGTCAGATTCAGGCATCACACGGATCCAAAAGAAGACGGATGGTTCACAAGAGAGGAACTGGTTGCAACAGCACCTCAAATCGTGGCAGATAATGAAAGAAGGTTAAGGGGCAAGGCTCCTGTGTAAGAAGCATCTCAGCGGACTTTTGAAGCTAAGAGGAATGTGCCCTCACGGGGCCCTAGCCAACACGCACATGATATGAGCTGTGGGCCCCAGCAAGCATCATGGCCGCCCTAAGTGAAGGCGGGTCTGAAAATCCACGAGAGGCCCTTATCTCAGCATTTTCCAATCTGGGTATCAGACAACTGCAGCATGCCAGTTGGATGAAGTGCAATGTCAGCCTCTCCCTGGGCTCCCTCCAGAGACGGCAGCTGCGTCAAGGCAGTTGAGCCCATGGCCAGGTGGTTGCGCCCTGGGCACACACAGTGTGAGGCCGACACATCACGAAGTGGCCGCGGTCGAATCAGAAAGCAGTATTGTCGTCACAGAGGCCCAGCGAGCCAATGGGAAAACGACAAACACTTGTGGAGCCTGGAGGCTGCCTGGACGTGCCCAACCAGAAAGGGCCCAGGCCCCAACTATCGGATAGGGCCTGGACGCAGACAGTGGGGCCCGACCAGAAGCTACTGGGAGCTTTCTCAGCCAGGCCCACACAGCCAAACAGGGCCGTGACTTCGTCGCTGGCCAGGCTAAGGGGATTCTGGCCTGGGCAGGCAAGGCGGACACACTGCTGCCTTGATGCGCAAGTGTCTGCATGTGCGCTGCTGGCTAGGGCGCACGCAGGCACTATGAGGTGAGAGGGGCGCTGCAGGCCAGAGGGTGCATGGCAGCCATAGCCGGGCTGCAGGGGCGCATGCGGGTGATGGGCGAAGGTGGTCTTTGGGTAGGAGGCGCATGAGTGGGTGGTCAAGTTCTGATTGGGGGAGGAGAGAGAACGTACCTGGTGTATGTGGGAGGTCGACATTGGTGTTGAGGTCATGTACATCGGTCTTCAAAGTCGGAGTGATCCTTTTGCAAGAATGTAGATAGGCTAGATAGGCTCAGTAGAGTAGGCTGGGCGCTGGGCGCCAGAAAGAAATGAGCGACATTGGATACTGTGTTGGTGGGCCTGAGGGCAATAACATTAGCACACGAGTTCACTGCTTTGCTCTTATTTGGATGGAATCTTGGTGCATTTAAGCTCTCTGCTTGGTAAATGACTAACTGGAGATCTGTGTGATTTTGCAACTTGGTTTTCTGTCTATCGCTCGCGCTCATATTCCTTGCACTACTCAATTTTCTAACTAGGACCACAGCTGTAAAGGTCATTGACTGGACCAGACTGACTTGATCTTAAGAATGCTGCCAATGGACTCAACAAATTTTGCAATTTTGTGAAAACAGGCAAACATAGGCAGACAGAGACTGATTGGCAACATCTTCTCCATTTGAAACCGTAGGAATCAAAGCTAGACTTAGACACTAGTACCCCCTCCCCATTACAACATGTTAAACCTATGTTTAAACTTTAAAAAGCAAAATTGCACATCTGAAAAGGCAAGGCTTGGGGTCCATGTTTTTGTAAGAAGTCCGACCAAATTGTTTTATACAATGGATTACCAGCTACATGGCACACACCAGTCTAGCTCTCGTGCGACCCCGTGCTGGCAGCCCATCTGGACCAGGGACTCATCCTTCAGCTCCCAAAAGGCAGCCAGGTCCACTCATGTACCTGCAGTGGAGCACAACCATTGACCACAACAAAAACGAACCCAGACTGGGAGACATTTCTCTTGCCTCCAGATCCTGGCCTTTGATCAAAATGATCAGCACCCAAAACCCCTATCAGTCGACGCTAGAGCATTTCACAGGCATGACGCCACTGCCAATCCGAATGCCTGTATAATGAGAGCAATTACTTCCCTGAGATGACCCTCCCCCCCCGGACAATTAATTTTTGCCTGACCTTTGTCAGGCAGAATCGCCTCAGCAAGCATAACATCAAGAACACCTGCAGGGTAAAGCGGCATCCAGAGTTCAAGGAGACGTTTCAGGAAATTCATTAAGGGGACCTTGTGTAATAAGAGAGGGAAACAAACCTGGTGGCAATCAATGGCTGTAGGAAGAAGTACAATCCTTCATAAGATTTGAACTGCTCGAATATCTTTACACACTCCTCGAGACCCAACTGCTCCGAGTACTCCTTTGCAATCTGTAAAGCACATTTAACCGGAGGCATCAGCGAAAGTCACCACCTCTCCATACTGTTCAGAATCCCCATAGAAAAGTGCCATGGACCGGTCACAAGTTCTCACAACCTCAGCCTGCCCAATTGCAGATAGCAAAACACATTGGTACCATCAAAGTTGCATCTGTCTCCCATCCACTATCTGTCGCAAGCCTAATCGACATCGATCAGAACCAAGAACCGACCTTCCAGAGACAATACAAAAATAGCACAGAGGAAGACTGAACCAAGATCTGTCTCAACATGAACAATGACAGGATCTGACTGCAACCATCATCACATGGTGCAAGTGGGCTCAGCGCAGCAAACATAGAAGGAGCGCTGAGTCAGAAGCATACACGGACGAAGGCGAGAGAGAAGAGACAAAGCGGCGAAGGAGACGGAGGATCAGCCACCATAGCCCAATGAACCCAGTCTCCAATGTATCCCCCATATCGTCGCTCATACGATGTCATGCCACAATGACACTGGATCGGGCAATGCCCGAAGGTCACCAAGTCTCAATGTCAACTCTGTGTGTGTGTGTGTGTGTGTGTGTGTGTGTGTGTGTGTGTGCAGAAGAAGAAGAAGAAGAAGAAGAAGAAGAAGAAGAAGCTCGGGAAGGAAAGAGGAGCGATGGGGAACAGGCTCTCTCTCTCTCTTGCTTATGCCAGGTACTGACCTGCGAAAGGTAGTGCCTTGATGCAGGTGAGAATGCACCGAAGACGACGCTGGAGCTATGGCGTCACAGTTAGGTCATCCGGTAAGTCCCCTGGCCTCCACCCATCTCTCTCTCTCTCTCTCTCTGCAGCTCGACTGCAGGCCTCTATTGGTTTTTGTTTGTGTATCCGGAACTCAACAAAAAAAAACACACTGCGCGTGAAATCAATGAAAGTGGGAAGCTGAAAGATCACTGTGGAAAAAGAAAGGCAGTGATCTTACGTTCTGTGCTTCGCACCATAACGCGACCTCTTGGAAGTGCCTATTGGAAACTGATACGAATTTGGATTTTAACGTGCTGGTGTTTTCTACTCCTAACCCCGCGCCCAGCGCTGAAGTCTAACACTAACAAGGCCCAAAGCGTTGAATAAGCTCTACCTCTACCTTGGAGTACTACCTCGAACTACTTACTGACCGAGGGGCGGACCAGCTATATATAGTGTCGGTCCAGCCCAAGTCCTGCTGAGGCAGGCGCCTAAACTAATGCCCACACCAATACAGAACTCGACCATTGTCTGCCTCTGGCTCCTAACGAAAAAAATGCGGCCAAACGAACAGAGGCCTGGCGCCGAAATGAAAAGGACACCAGGGCCTGCCTAGCTTGCTACCGGCCTCACTGGGCCTAATAACCCTGCAGGCCTAGCACAACCGAAACGACGCTGGGCCCTACTAAGCCCCAACTTTACCGGCAGGCCTGATGGCGGGCCGTGTCGGGCCCATGGAACACCACACCCTCCACTCTTAAAGACCGAGCATACCAGCGAGGGCGAAGTTGTCTATTGAAGGGAGGGGCCGAAGTCCACGTCGGACAAGCAGGTTGTGAAGCTTTCTTCGCTAGTCATTGGTTCTAGTAGTTGGCGCAGATAAGCGGAGCTGATGCTTGCAAGTCATTGCCATACTTGCGATGTGTGATGACTCTATCGATTTCCTGGTGACCATCCATAGAAGGGGGATCTTGCAATCGCCAGCCCGGGAAGTCGTCGCTCTTGGCTGGTATGCAAGTGGCAAGTTTAAAGGGGTGTGGAAAACCGGGTGGACCGGTAGATGAGGCGGGATGTTGATCACAAACGATGGGTCATTGTCCAAACCACTTGGGGAGGAGTTTTCGTGAGACGTCTTGTTCAAGTGCGAACTCATTATTATAAGAATAGTAATTAATAGATAGAGAATAAGAAATAAATAATAATCAATTCATAATAAAATAACTTCCATTGATTGAGAAAAAAAAACTTGCAAATTAGTTAAATATTTGATTCAAATACTAGAGAAAAGTATTAAAAACAAATCCACAAATAAAGTCCTTGAATCAATTAAATAATATAGAAACGAACCATATGCCTAGATCTCAAAAAAACGATRATTTTATTGATAAAACATTTACGATCATTGCAGACATCCTGCTTCRAATAGTTCCAACAAGCCAACGAGAAAGAGAARCTTTTACCTATTACCGAGATGGTGCGATTTGAAAAAAAATATTTTATTTCTTTAAAATCATTAAGTTCACGTCTAATCAAGATATTGATTTTTTTTAAAACTTTCAAAAACACATGGTTKATATATGATTTCTTTCACTGTGTGCCGATAGTTCGTTTATATATAGCATCTTTAATCTCAATTTGACTCACTTGAGAATACAGCGTGGCACAAAACATCGATTAGCTTGCTGCTGCATGCGGCCTTGAGCCTTTTGCATGTTTGCATGACGTTTAACCAGCAAGTCCAAGCACTTCCGTACGAAAGAGGGAGAGCAAGGGGTGTCAATGCTGGCTGCCCATGGAAATAGAAGGTCAGCAAAGGTATGGCCTTTCTGGCCACCGTGGTTCAACTCGAAGGGAGTCGTACCAATCGTCGGATGCAACAGTGTTGTAGGTGAATTCGATGTCAAGGAGGCGGATGGGCGTACGAAGCATCATTTGAGCAGTTTCATGTGCCCGCTCCATTTGCCCGTCCATTTGTGGGTGTCGAGTGGAACTCGGTTTCATCTCGGTGCCGAGTTCCTTCATCGGAGAGGTCCAAAATCCGACATAAATGAATTGTCGAGGCCGCTAACGATGTCTTTCGGAACGCAGTGAGCACAAATCCAGCCGGTGTGCAAGAGTTTGGCGAGCTTGGGAGCCGCCACATGGTACTTGTAGAAAAAACCGTGCGTACTTAACCATTTAAAGACCGCAAGGATGTCGTTGTGCCCGAGACGATCGGGTGGGAAGGGCCCAGTGACGTCCATGGCAATAGACAAGTCGGGATCCCAAAGAATTGGCAACGGGCACAACTCACCTTAGGAGTTGCGGTTGCGGGGCTTGTTGCCTCGACAAACCTCGCAAGACTCGCAATACCGAGTGATGTCGATGATGGCTTCAAACCATCCAAATCGTTGGCCAAGTTGAGTGACTGTCCGCTTGACTTCAAGTGTCCGGTGAGCCACGAGTCGTGGTACTCACCAAGGAGGCGAGTCTGTAATCATCAGTCCCGTGGAATGCATATCAAGTCCTTGCCTCACGAATGGAGAAGCAAGTGCCCGTCGACGATGCGGTAGTGGTTAGCCAACGTCGGTGATCCGAAGAAAGTTTCTCATGGAGGGTAGCATAGTCTAGATCTGTCTCGTATGCTCATACAAAATGCTGATGGAGGTCTTCATCAAAGTCAAGGACTTGGTGTGTCGATGTGCAAAGATTGACTCTGAAATGTGTTTTGGAGTGAAGTCGAACTGGTCGATGAGGAACATCTATCTTTCAATTGTGCGACTCACCGGTCTTGCATCTTGTAGTAGGTTAATGGGTTATTGTCCGTCACCCAAATGAACCTACAATGCCCGAGGAGTAAGTGCCGCCATCGTCCGAAAGCAGGAAACTCCTCCCGTCATCAAGCGAGATTAGGGGGGGGCACCTTTTGGCTGAAGTATTTAACCGCATGCCAATCTGCGTTGTCATGTGGTTCCAAGACTGCACCAATGTCGTAGCCGAAAGCGTCCGTAGTCACTCTTGTAGGGAAGCTGGGGTCGTAGATGCTAATGGGAGCCGTGAGCATCACCGTCTTAAGCTTGTGGTACGAACTCCAGACTTCATTTGAAAAATGAAAGGGCACCTTCCGAGACTGAAATCGTAACAAAGGTGTGGTGATCCGCACATATCCATCGACGAAGCGTTGGTAGTACCCAGTCAATCCCATGAAGTAACGAACCTCTGTGTTGTTGGTGGGTTCCAACCAATCTCGGATGGCGTGGATTTTCTCTGCGAGCGGATAAATGCCTTTCGCCGTCACAAAGTGGCCCAAGTATTCGAGCTTTTGTTGCACGACTTCGCACCTTGCTCGATTGGCCTTATACTTGGTCCAACATAAGTCTCTCAAAACGTCGCATAGGTGCTTGAGGTGCTCGTCGAAGGTCCGACCATAAAACAAGATGCCATCGAGGTAGATAAGCATGAACCAGTCCAACATGTCTCGAAACTCCATCCTCATTACCGCTTGGAAAGTGGTTGGGGCATTCGTGAGGCCAAATGGCATTTCGACCCACTAGTGCCCATACCACATCTTGAAACTCCATCGTCATTACCGCTTGGAAAGTGGTTGGGGCATTCGTGAGGCCAAATGGCATTTCGACCCACTAGTGCCCATACCACATCTTGAATGCGATTTTGTACCGATTTTGCAGATGGATCTCAATTTGGCGGTAACCAGATTTGAGGTCCAACTTCGAGAAATACGTGTCGCTCCCCACGCGTTAAAGAAGATCGTCGATGCACGGTAGCGGGCCAACATTCTCAACAGTTTTAGCTTTAAGCTTGTGGTAGTCAATGCATAGTCGCAAGTCCTTGTTCTTCTTCCAGACAAAGAGAACGGGTGCACCGTAGGGCGAGCACCTAGGGTGAAACCAGCCTTTCACAATGAGGTGGGTTGTGTACAAAGCACCCAAGTTCCTCCTACCGATACAACCACGTGGAGATACGGCCCAATCCTTGAGGATGCTCTCGTGGCAAATAGGCCGATCCGATACGATTTCGACGGGGGCTTCGAAGACGTCGCCGACGGAGTCAAGAAGCTCTACGATTCTTGGATCCGGTGATACTTCCGATGCTGGCTCATTCGATGGAGGGATGGCATGCAAGAAGCATCCATTTCTTCAATGTCGTGTCGTGCGATGGAGTTGCGAATGCTCACCGAGGAAACCAAGTGACAACCAATCAAAGGGTGAGGCAGAGAAACCTCAACGATGCTCGGGACTAACATGCCGTTCCGATCACAAATGTGAAGGGTGCAGCGATGGA